CGTGCTGCTCCTTGCATCTTCCTGGGGTTCCCCCCTGACGCGCCAGGGTGGCAGTTCTACCACCCCACCTCTCGCCGTGTTCTGTCCTCCTTCGACGTCACGTTTGACGAGTCGGTCCCCTACTACCGCCTCTTCCCCTACCGCACTCCGTCCCTCCCCCCGCCCCCGCTCTTCCTTGTACCAGGTCCCCCCCAGGTAAACCCCCTCCCCCCTCAGGGTCCTGCCCCTTCAGGTGTGTCCCAGGTAGACGCAGTCGAGCCTGTCGAGGTCACTGGTGATTCTGGTGCTGCTGAGGGTGCTGAGCCTGGGGGTGCTGAGCCTGGGGGTGCTGAGCTTGGGGGTGCTACACCTGGAGGTGCTTTGCCTGGGGGTGCCGGGCCTGGGGGTGCTGAGCCTGGAGGTGCTCCGCCTAGAGGTTCTCCAGGTGCTTCGTCTCGCCAGGAGCCACTCTCTCCACAGGAGCTGCGCGAGTGGTTTGCCCAGCGCTGGAGCCGTGCTGCTGGTGCTGGAGGTTCGTCGGCTACTGAGGGTGCTGCTGTCGCGGGTCCCGGAGGTGCTCGTCCTGGGAGTACTGGAGCTGCTGGGCCTGCAGGTTCGACTGGAGCTGGTGCTGCTGAGGGTGTTGGCGCTGAGACTACCACTGGCGGTCCTGCTGGGGGTGCTCCTGGTGCTGCTGGAGGTTCTGGAGCTCCTGGAGGTGCTGCTGGAGCGGGTGCTCCTGCTGGAGGTACTGGTGCTGTCCCTGCTGTTTCTGGCGTCGCCACGCGGCCTCAACCGTACTTCGTTCCACTACTGCAGCAGGTTCTTGGTCTTCCACCTTCTACTGGTCCTCCTCCTCCCTTAGAGTGTCCACAGCCTTTCTCGTCACAGTTACAGTTGCAGCCTACCTCCCCTTTGCCTGCTCCTTCTCCCTACACTGGTCCTACTGGGGGTCTTGCTGAGCGTCGTGAGCCTGCGTCTCGCCCTACGTCGCCTGTCTGTGCTGCTCGCGCTAGTGGTTGTGGTTCGCGTCCTCATCCTCCTCCTGTCCCTGGCACGCACAGGATGTCTCTGCGTCCGTCCACTGCTCCTCTGCGTGCCCCTTTGCCTTCTCCTCCTGAGTCCTCTCTTCCTGCTCTTGCCGACCCGGAGTCGGACTCTCTTCGTGCTGCCAGTCCTACTGTCATGCGTCTCCTGGCTACTGTTGTCACTGACCCTTCTTTCGAGTCCACTGCTGCGTATGCCCTAGTTGCTGAGCTCGTCGACTTTGCTGCTCGCTGTCGCCTAGACTACGCTGCTAGTCTTGTCGCTGAGTCTGAGTCTGTCTGTCCTCCGTCCGTCGGGGGTGAGTGTGCCCTTGGCACGGACGTCCTTGAGGACAGGCAGGAGGAGTTCCAGTGTCTGGCAGCTGCTTCACCTCATCTCGTGTCCGTACTGCTTACCCCTGAGGGAGACCCGGATGCACTTGACATCCCGACTCCGCGCTCTTACGCGGAGGCGATAGAGGGTCCCTACTCCTCTCAGTGGCAGGCAGCTATGGATGCAGAGATGGCTTCCTAGAAGTCCACAGGCACCTACGTTGACGCTGTCCCCCCTCCTGGGGCGAACATTGTCAGTGGCATGTGGATTTTCAGGGTGAAGCGGCCGCCGGGCTCTCCGCCTGTCTTCAAGGCGCGTTACGTGGCGCGTGGCTTCAGTCAGCGGCAGGGAGTTGACTACTTTCAGACCTTCTCCCCCACCCCGAAGATGACCACTCTTCGGGTACTGCTGCATGTTGCTGCTCACCGTGGCTACGAGCTGCACTCTCTCGACTTCAGCACTGCTTTCTTGCAGGGCAGCCTGCACGAGGAGATCTGGCTGCGCCGCCCACCTGGCTTCACTGGGTCTTTCCCTCCTGGTACCCAGTGGAGTCTCCGGCGTCCAGTCTACGGTCTCCGTCAGGCGCCACGTGAGTGGCACGACACACTGAGGACTACGCTTGCGGCTCTTGGGTTTGCGCCTTCTACTGCCGACCCGTCGCTGTTTCTGCGCACCGACACCTCTCTGCCGCCGTTCTACATCCTCGTGTACGTCGACGACTTGGTCTTTGCCACAGCTGACACTGCTGGACTCGCCTACGTGAAATTTGAGCTGTAGAAGAGACACACGTGCACAGACCTGGGTGAAATGCGCAGCTACCTTGGCTTGCAGATCACCCGGGACAGAGCACAGCGCACCATTACCCTGACTCAGTCACACATGGTGCAGCAGGTCCTTCAGCGCTTCGGCTTCACGTACTCCTCGCCTCAGGCCACTCCTCTGCCTACTCGCCACTCACTCTCAGCTCTGCCTTCGGATGATTCCGTAGAGTCGAGTGGCCCGTATCCAGAGCTTGTTGGCTGCCTCATGTACCTGATGACCTGCACACGACCTGACCTTGCATACCCTCTTAGCATTCTTGCACGCTATGTTGCTCCTGGGAGACACTGACCAGAGCACATGGCTGCAGCGAAGAGGGTGTTGCGCTACTTGTGCAGTACGTCGGGCATGGGGCTAGTGCTTGGAGGGCGGAGTCCAGTGGTCCTCACTGGGCACGCAGACGCTTCTTGGGCTGACGACCAGGCTACGTAGCGGTCATCCCAGGGTTACACCTTCAGCCTTGGTTCCGGCTCTGTTTCGTGGCGGGCTACTCGCTCGTCTTCTGTTCTCGGCTCCAGTTGTGAGGCTGAGATCTACGCCGGGGCCATGGCTGCACAGGAGCTTCGCTGGCTCACCTACCTGCTGACCGACCTTGGAGAGCCGCCTCGTTCTCCTCCAGTCCTGTACGTAGACAACAAGGCCATGCTGGCCTTGTGTCGAGAGCAGAGATTGGAGCACAGAACAAAGCACATTGCTCTCCGCTACTTCCTTGCTCGTGAGCTACAGCAGCGTGGTCAGTTGCGGCTTGCGTTCGTGGCCTCCGAGGCCAACACTGCTGATGTTTTCACCAAGGCACTTCCGCCTTGTGATCATCAGCGCTTCTGCACTCAGCTGGGTCTTGTCCCTGTCTTGCCTCACTTGCTCACCCCTTGACCTTGTTTGTACTGTTACATATATATATACCTGCTCTTGCTTGTCTAGTCTTATATATATATGTACTCCTGCATGTGAACTGGCCTTGTGGCCTTGAACTTGTGCTCGGAATGTGTGGTGACTTTGTGATCCACCCTGAGCTTGCTTTGCTTTGCTTTGCTTGACTGGTCTTGTGACCCCTTGTTCTCCCCCACTTTGCCTATGGGGGTGTGTCAGAACATATAGCTTGTGCTCATTGTGTAGGCTATAGTGGGGTAGCCCATAAGGGGTACAACCCTATTAGGGTTAGTACTTGTACTCAGTTCATTCATAGTTCATCCATTCTCGTTTCAATTATCACAAATGTCATTGAATTCGGTGACATTGGGAAGCTAGATTACTTAATGTTGTCGCCTACATACCTCCTGCGGGAGGCCTAGGTTTATCACTTGAAAACACGGTTGCACTGAGCTTCGCTCCAACCTTGAGTGGCGAGGTGGAGTTACTGCACCCTCACAGCACAACCTTTCCTCTGAAAATTGGGCGAAATAGGATTGGCTTCTAAATTTCGCGCCATACTGCTCCCCAACTCGGATTGGTTGCACGTGTTGGCGAAATCGCCAACACATCCCAATCCTCCCGAAATAAGTACCCCCCAACCGAACAGCTACCTCTGGCGCCCGTGACGTCGCCCTGCGCCCGTGACGGTGCCAGGACCCGCCCCTGGCGCCCGTGACGGTGCCCTGCGCCGCTGCGGACCCGCCCCTGGCGCCCGCGACGACGCCTCTACCTCACCCCGCGCCTGCACTCACTGCAGCCGCCCCTGCCCTACAGCGCGCCGACCGAGTGTAGCCGCTCTGCGGCTTCATCCCCGCCCCCCCTCCCCCCCCCCCCCCCCTCCTTCGTCTCCCTGCAGCCGTCGGGAGGAGGGTGTGGGGGTGGCGGGTGTGGGGGTGATGGGTGGTGTATTTCCCTTCCCCTCCTCCTCCTTTCGTTCCCACTGCTGCAGCTGCCGCTGGGGGAAGGGTGTGAGGGTGTGGGGGAGCCAGGGGATTGGCATTGGGGTGGCGGGTGTGAGACCAACCAGCCCCCGTCCCTCTGAGGTAGGGGAGGGGGGGGGGGGGGGGGGGGGGGAGGAGAGTAAAGGGGTGGCAGGAGTGCCTGCCCTTTTGCTGCTGTACCTGCTCTGTTACCGTGCCTACTATTGCTGTTGCTGGTGTACCCCTGCAGGTTGTGTTCTGCACAAACTCCTGCTGCAGGCAGTTATGGGGGAGTGTTAGAATATATCTGTAACTGCCTGTAGCTGTAGTTTAGTGTAGTTATTATAAACTGTTGGTGGTGCACCTTCTTTGCATGCTCTGTTTGCTATATGTACCCTAGTGCTATAGTGAACACTTATTCTCCTCTCTCCCTCCTTGGCACAAACTCTCTCGACTCCCCTTGGCATAGGCTACTAAGCCTAGGCCCTCACTTAAACCTAACTACCATTCCTGCTACTAGCTTCAACAATACCGAATGATGGATGGACTATTGTGGGTTGGGGTACATAGACCTAACCCTAACTGCTGTACCCCATATGCCATGCATCGCTAAAGGCTAATGCTAGGCTGGCAAATGGTAACATGGTTCGGGCTAGTCCCGAAGCGTGGGCCGACACGGCCGGGCCAGCGGTGCATGGTATGGTGAAACAGTGCGCGCGAATGTTGGCAAAGCCCCGTTAGCAGTAACGGGCGAACAACGGTTGCTGCTGTACCAGGGCTAATTTTTGGTTTTGGCCAACCCTTACGATCAGTGTTGCACATCATCAAAATCCTAATTATCATAGTATCCCTCAGTGAAAATCCTGATATGTCAGGGTTTCCGCAGATCCTGAAAATTCTACCCTGGGTCATCAGTGTAACAATTTTTCAACTTGGTACATTGGCGTTGCCTCGAATGCAACTTTATTACCGTACTGGCCAATGGTGGCCCACTTCGTGCCAGCACACGTAATGTCGTGCCGAAATTTACAGTTACGACAGTTGGCAAAGGGGATTCCCAGGTTACGGGGTACGGGGGGTTAGGGGAAGGTTGGGGGGGGGTCGGGGGTTGGCTGGAACTCGCTTCAGGGTAAATCTCGATAAGAGGATTGGCAACCCTGAGGCGACAGTGTAGCTTAATCGTAAACCCTGGCACATCAGGGTAAATGAAGGTCCTAAAAATTTTACCCTACCGCATCAGTGTTACCCCCTAAAAACCACCCTGTTCATCAGGGCATCAGGGTGATTTACCCTGATAAAATAGGCCCTGTGCTGTACACGATGTTGGAGGACGTAGTAAATAATGCCAGAAAAATCCTTATAGATGTACTGTTTTACTTCTATAGTGTAATTCTCGCTCATTCGCTCAATTGCAGTCCGTAACCCACTGCCACACATTTCCCTTCCCAGCGCTCCGAAACTCTCTTCCCTAAGGACGCGGCACCTCTAGCACCGATCCTGCGATCGATCCTGCGCAGGATCGAGTGTTTTAGGAGTTTAAAATGTTTTTGAAAGATTTAAATGCTTTCAAAAAGAATTCAGCACGGTTGAATCAGCGATCCTGCGATCGACCGTGCAAAATTGCTTGAGGTGCCGCGTCCTAACACGTCGATCGACACGGCTATTTCCTCCCGTCGCACAAAAACTACATACCCGTCGCGCGGCTATTCCCAACTCTTGCTAAGTTGTTACCTTCCCTCGCGCGGCAGGAACCCTTCCCTCTCGCGGTTTCTGTCGCGTGTGCCTGGTCCCTTCTCTCACCTGTATCTCCAGTTCCTCACCTGTGAGTCGCTTCCCTCCCGCCGCAATTCCCTTCTCTCACGCCGGTAGTCCGTTGGAACATGCGCGTGCTCTTCCCCACGCGCTGCCATTCTCTTCCCCACGCGCTGCCATTCCCTTCCCCATACGCTCCCATTTCGTTCCCCACGCGCTACCATTCCTTTCCCCTTACGCACTCATCCTCTTACCCTTACGATTCCATTCCCTTCCCCTCACGCACCCATTCCCTCCCCCTCACGCCGCCATCCCCTTCCCCACACGCTACCATTCCCTTCCCCCATTCTCCTCCTCTTCCCCGCACAGCAGTACCGTGCGCCCCACCGCCCCACCTCGGCACCTGCGCGGGGCGCCATGGCGGCAGCGCGCCCGTCGTGTTGCCTGCGAGCGGCGGTGGGCGTGAAGGTACCCTCTGCTGCGCTGCTCTCCGATCGCCCACCCTCCCCAGGTGCTCCCTGCTGCTCGGCGTTGCTCCCTGCCCTCTCGGCTGCGCTGCTGCTCCTTTGGCCCGAAAGTCCATCGCACCAATCAACCAGCAAAGCGCTGCCTCATCACTCATCCCACTCTCATAGTCGTACGATTCACTGATTGCACTCGCGCTTCCCTTCTTTCTCTCCACTTCCCCTCTCTCTTACATGCTCCAACATCCACGCGCTGCCATACACCACCATGCATGCACCGCTGTGCGCCACTGCCAGCATCGCTGCAGCACTTCTCCTGGGAGCTCCTGCCATCTGCCGCCGACCCCCTTGCTGCCGCTGCCAGCCCCTTCGCGTCCATCTCTGCTGCATTCGCACCTCGGAGCGCCCGGCAACCCAACTCTGAAGACGCCGCCGATGTTGCTGCCGCCACCCGCGGGCTGTGCTTCGCGCGCATCCAGCCGCCCCGCCCCGCTCCTCCTCGGTGCGTCGCTCTGCGCAGTGCAGTGCACACAGCCTCCGTGGTGCACACAGCCTCCGTGGTGCACACAGCCTCCGTGGTGCACACAGCCTCCGTGGTGCACACAGCCTCCGTGGTGCACACAGCCTCCGTGGTGCACACAGCCTCCGTGGTGCACACAGCCTCCGTGGTGCACACAGCCTCCGTGGGCTTGACTTGGCACGCCTCCCCTGCCGTCACCACCACCAGCATGAACGAGTCGCAGCAGCATGAACGAGTCGCAGCAGCATGAACGAGTCGCAGCAGCATGAACGAGTCGCAGCAGCATGAACGAGTCGCAGCAGCATGAACGAGTCGCAGCAGCATGAACGAGTCCCAGCGCTGCTCTTTGCCCCACGCATCACCACCGTTTTCCCCTCCCTCCCTTCCCCCTCTCTTCCCGCCCTCCTCCTGTGCGCGGCATGGCATGGCAGGGGGGGCGGGGCGGCGGGCAAGAAGGTGGAGTACTACTCGGTGCACTAGGAGGCAAGTGGCCCCCTCTTTCATTTCTTTCCCTCCCTGTCGCGTGCCACATGTGGCATGGCAGGGGCGGCGGTGGGGCGGCGGGCAAGAAGGTGGAGTACTACTCGGTGCGCCGCGTGCAGGCTGACGGCCGCTGCATGTTCCGCGCCCTGGTGAGCCCTGCATGTTCCGCGCCCTGGTGAGCCCTGCACTGCATGTTCCGCGCCCTGGTGAGCCCTGCATGTTCCGCGCCCTGGTGAGCCCTGCATGTTCCGCGCCCTGGTGAGCCCTGCATGTTCCGCGCCCTGGTGAGCCCTGCATGTTCCGCGCCCTGGTGAGCCCTGCATGTTCCGCGCCCTGGTGAGCCCTGCACTGCTGCGAGGAGGGGTGGGAGAGGGAGAGGCGTGAGAGAGGGAGAAGGTGGTGTATACCCACTGCTTCCTCTTCTCCATGTCCCCACGCCACCGTTTCCCTGATCCACCATGCTCCCCAATCCACCATGCACCCTTTTCCAATCCACCATACCCCCCAATTCACCATGCCCCCATGCCACCATTGCCCCATGCAACCATGCCCCCATGCCGCCCCAATGCTGCCATGCTGCCATGCCGCCATGCTGCCATGCCGCCATGCTGCCATGCCGCCATGCTGCAGGTATCGGGCATGGCGGCCAACAAGAACATGGCGCTCTCCCCCGCCGATGAGACTCGCGAGGCAGGTGTGTGCAGGCAGGGGGTGTGTGCAGGCAGGGGGTGTGTGCAGGCAGGGGGTGTGTGCAGGCAGGGGGTGTGTGCAGGCAGGGGGTGTGTGCAGGCAGGGGGTGTGTGCAGGCAGGGGGTGTGTGCAGGCAGGGGGTGTGTGCAGGCAGGGGGTGTGTGCAGGCAGGGGGTGTGTGCAGGCAGGGGGTGTGTGCAGGCAGGGGGTGTGTGCAGGCAGGGGGTGTGTGCAGGCAGGGGGTGTGTGCAGGCAGGGGGTGTGTGCAGGCAGGGGGTGTGTGCAGGCAGAGGGTTCGTGGAACAGTAATGGCAGTTTCATGTCTTGTGCCTGATGCCATGCCTGGAACCATCTCTCAATTGGTTTTTCTTTCTCCTCTCCCTGCTCCCCGTACTTCCTATCTTGTGTCTTGACATGCCACGCCATACTGTGACATCCGCGCCATACTGTGACATGCCACGCCATACTGTGCCATGCCATGCCATACTGTGCCATGCCACGCCATATGTCATGCCATATGCCATGCCATTTGCCATGCGACGCCATACCATATGCCATGCCATTCCATGCCATACCATGCCACGCCATGCCATATGCCATGCCATACCATGCCATGCCATTTGCCATTCGCCACGCTGCCATGGGACGCATCAGACGAGCTGCGGCTGGCGGTGGCGGATGCGCTGTGCGGCAGTGAGAAGCGCCGCGCCGCATACGAGGAAGCACTCATCGCCATTACCGTGGAGGAGAGCCTCTCAAGGTGAGAGAAAGGGGGTGTTGCTGAGTGCAGGGGGAGGGGGCGAAGGGGTGGGCAGGGAGGGCAGGTGCATGAGGAGGCACTCATCTCCATCACCATGGAGGAGAGCCTGCAGCGGTGAGAGAGAAGGGGGAGGGGGGATGGGGGGTGGGGAAGGGGGTTGGGCAGGGATGGCAGGCGTACGAGGGGGTGCTGATCGCCATCAATGTGGAGGAGAGCCTTGCTTTACAGTGGCAGTAACGGCTTGCTTTACTGTGGAGGATGCTTGCAACTCAAGCATGGGTTACGAGTCATGAGTCATGGGTCATGGGTAATGGCATATGGGACATGGGTTGAGGGTCATGAGACATGGGTCATGGGTCATGGGTTACGGGATATGGGACATGGGTTGAGGGTTACTGGGAAGCGACGATACCAGTTTCTGATCGGCCATTGGTGCGATCAGTGGAAACGAGCCGTGAACGGGGGGACAACCGTTGTGAATTTTGAGCACTGGGATGAAAAGAATGTTTTCCGTCCTTGGAAACCTCACCTTCATTTGGAAACCTCACCTTCACTTGGAAACCTCACCTTCACTTGGAAACCTCACCTTCACTTGGAAACCTCACCTTCACTTGGAAACCTCACCTTCACTTGGAAACCTCACCTTCACTTGGAAACCTCACCTTCACTTGGAAACCTCACCTTCACTTGGAAACCTCACCTTCACTTGGAAACCTCACCTTCACTTGGAAACCTCACCTTCACTTGGAAACCTCACCTTCACTTGGAAACCTCACCTTCACTTGGAAACCTCACCTTCACTTGGAAACCTCACCTTCACTTGGAAACCTCACCTTCACTTGGAAACCTCACCTTCACTTGGAAACCTCACCTTCACTTGGAAACCTCACCTTCACTTGGAAACCTCACCTTCACTTGGAAACCTCACCTTCACTTGGAAACTCACCTTCACTTGGAAACCTCACCTTCACTTGGAAACCTCACCTTCACTTGGAAACCTCACCTTCACTTGGAAACCTCACCTTCACTTGGAAACCTCACCTTCACTTGGAAACCTCACCTTCACTTGGAAACCTCACCTTCACTTGGAAACCTCACCTTCACTTGGAAACCTCACCTTCACTTGGAAACCTCACCTTCACTTGGAAACCTCACCTTCACTTGGAAACCTCACCTTCACTTGGAAACCTCACCTTCACTTGGAAACCTCACCTTCACTTGGAAACCTCACCTTCACTTGGAAACCTCACCTTCACTTGGAAACCTCACCTTCACTTGGAAACCTCACCTTCACTTGGAAACCTCACCTTCACTTGGAAACCTCACCTTCACTTGGAAACCTCACCTTCACTTGGAAACCTCACCTTCACTTGGAAACCTCACCTTCACTTGGAAACCTCACCTTCACTTGGAAACCTCACCTTCACTTGGAAACCTCACCTTCACTTGGAAACCTCACCTTCACTTGGAAACCTCACCTTCACTTGGAAACCTCACCTTCACTTGGAAACCTCACCTTCACTTGGAAACCTCACCTTCACTTGGAAACCTCACCTTCACTTGGAAACCTCACCTTCACTTGGAAACCTCACCTTCACTTGGAAACCTCACCTTCACTTGGAAACCTCACCTTCACTTGGAAACCTCACCTTCACTTGGAAACCTCACCTTCACTTGGAAACCTCACCTTCACTTGGAAACCTCACCTTCACTTGGAAACCTCACCTTCACTTGGAAACCTCACCTTCACTTGGAAACCTCACCTTCACTTGGAAACCTCACCTTCACTTGGAAACCTCACCTTCACTTGGAAACCTCACCTTCACTTGGAAACCTCACCTTCACTTGGAAACCTCACCTTCACTTGGAAACCTCACCTTCACTTGGAAACCTCACCTTCACTTGGAAACCTCACCTTCACTTGGAAACCTCACCTTCACTTGGAAACCTCACCTTCACTTGGAAACCTCACCTTCACTTGGAAACCTCACCTTCACTTGGAAACCTCACCTTCACTTGGAAACCTCACCTCACTTGGAAACCTCACCTTCACTTGGAAACCTCACCTTCACTTGGAAACCTCACCTTCACTTGGAAACCTCACCTTCACTTGGAAACCTCACCTTCACTTGGAAACCTCACCTTCACTTGGAAACCTCACCTTCACTTGGAAACCTCACCTTCACTTGGAAACCTCACCTTCACTTGGAAACCTCACCTTCACTTGGAAACCTCACCTTCACTTGGAAACCTCACCTTCACTTGGAAACCTCACCTTCACTTGGAAACCTCACCTTCACTTGGAAACCTCACCTTCACTTGGAAACCTCACCTTCACTTGGAAACCTCACCTTCACTTGGAAACCTCACCTTCACTTGGAAACCTCACCTTCACTTGGAAACCTCACCTTCACTTGGAAACCTCACCTTCACTTGGAAACCTCACCTTCACTTGGAAACCTCACCTTCACTTGGAAACCTCACCTTCACTTGGAAACCTCACCTTCACTTGGAAACCTCACCCTCCACTGCATCTCTGCATCATCTTCCACGAATTCAACCCACCCTGTCCTTCATGTCTCCCTGTCCGCCGGCCTGCCCTCCACCAATCAGGTACTGCCAGCGCATCACCAGGCCTGACTTCTGGGGGGGAGAGTCGGAGCTGCTGGTAAGATGAGACAAGCGCTGCTAGTGGGGTCTGCTTGGCGGACATGCATGTTGATTGTTTATGTTCATGCACGCTGTACACGTACACTTTGCTAGCCCTATTATTTGTGACGCTGAATTTCCATTCCTGCTTGAAATTTTCTTATCTCTCTCTGCTCCCCAGTGGTACCCTTGTCAGTGTTCTAGTTCTGATTGTGGTATCGCATTGCTCTATCAACTTGCCCCTTCACAGGTGCTGTCGCGCATGTGTTCGCAGCCCATCATTGTGTACATCCCCGAGTCCAAGGTGCGCCCAACCTCTCCTCTCCCTCTGCACTCCTCCTCCTCATCCAAGCAGCAACACCACTCTCTCTCTCTCCCTGCCTCTTGCCGTGCCATGGTCAAGTGATGCACCGCCCTCTCCATGCCACACCCACACCGTACGCCACATTCCATCGGCACCGCTCCATGCCACATCTTGCCATGCGTCCTCCCCATTCCCCCATGCTCCCACCGCCCCACCCCTCACGGCGTGGCAGGCGCGGCAGGGGGCGCGGTGGGGCGGGGGCGTGGTGCCCATCGCGGAGTACGGCAGCGAGTTCGGGCGGGCGGCGGGTGCACACGGCAACAAGCCGCGCAAGGCGGTGCGGCTGCTGTACAATGGCAGCAACCACTACGACCTTCTCCTCTAGGCTCGGAAACCACTACGACCTCCTCCTCTAGGCTCGGCAACCACTACGAGCTCCTCCTCTAGGCTCGGCAACCACTACGACCTCCTCCTCTAGGCTCGGCAACCACTACGAACTCCTCCTCTAGTGCCCCGTCTGCTCACCTCTGCCCTGTTTTGTCGGACATAGAACCAACGAATGGAAGGCAAGAGGCTGCTGCGCTGTGCAGCGCTAACCATTACAATCTGCTCGTTGAGTGATTCGAACTTGTGCCACTTGGTTATTGAAATTACTAAGCCAAGAGAAGCCAGGAATAAGCTCAAAACACGCTGAAACAGCACCTTCGATTTGTATGATAGTGTAAGGAAAATCCCTTTTCCTTACTTCGCATCCCTGCTCAACGCGTACATCACAGTAGCACCTCAGTCAGCACCGTTACCACTCGCGATCCTCGCATCGACAATCATCCCGCCATCTTCGCACATCGCACCCCGACCTCACGGCTCGGCTGGTAACCCGCGCTCCGGGCCTCCACTTAGACACTTTCCCAACCTCAGTCTCAGGCTCGTCGCACGACAACCACAGTCCATTACCGTTACCACTGTAGTTTCGCTATATATTCTTCACTCATGCCTTCGCTCATTGTATTCTTGCTTCGATAGTGCAATTCTCGTTCGTCCACTCAATTGCACTCGTAACACTTGGTATTCAGAGCCTACGATCTCATCTCGGACCGCATCCACACTTTCGCTTCCCCACTATCTCAATTTTTGGGGGGGGGGTAGACGTCTCTCAGCGATACAGCACCGCCGCTCGTAGTGCTCTCTCGTAAGCACGCACGGCCACGACCGAGGCTCTCGCTGAGCTTGCCCGACACCCCCGCCATGGCCGATTTCACGCTCGCCACGTTGACGCAGGAGCAGCTTGATCGTCTCGTGCGTCAACTAGAAGATTCGGCGCTCGAAATCGCGACACTCACGGCGGAACGTGACTCCGCCCGTCAACAATCCACGGTGAACATTCCGGCGACACCACACGCACCGACAAATGCATCTGCACAATCGGACGAGCCGATCATCATCTCGTCCGGCACACCAACACAACACGACAGCATGGGACAACGCTCAGGCGCAGCCAGTGATGGCGCCGCCCAGCCGATGCCTGGCATGGGGGGAGGCAGGATCGCACCAAGCCCGCGGGAGCCCCAGGAAGCCCGTCGGCACGTGGAATTTGCGGCAACAAGTGGCGAACAGGCCATTATGGCACCAATGCCGCTCAAGCCGCAACGCCCGCCCTGCTTCGACCCAAGCCAACGCGGAGGTCCGACGGTTCAATCGTGGGTCTTCACGATGAACGTCTTCTTCGACGCAAACTATGTCGAGTCGGACGCCGCGAAGATCCGGTATGCAGTTTCGCTGCTAAGGGGCCCCGCCATGGACTGGTGGCGAGTCATCGTGACATCGCCACGCGCCTACGAGCCACCGTCGCACGAGGAAGGGCCCACGGGTCCAGCTGTCACCTGGAGTTCGTTCTGCGAGACCGCCCAATACAGCACGTGGGATGCGTGGTGCGCAGGACTACGGGCGCGCTTCGAGCCGATCGCGGCTTCGATTTCGGCGCGTCATAGATTGCGCACTTGGCGCCAGCTCGGGTCGGTTCAAGATTATACAAGCGGTTTTCTCGCACTTTGCGAACAGGTCGGCTACATGCACGAAGCGGAGCGGGTGGACCGTTACATCGGAGGGCTGAAGCCGGATATCTCGCACGAAATCATGCTGCGCGGACTCTCTAACTTCAACGAGATTCTCGCGCTCGCCGAGAAAATCGACATTCTACGCCGACCGAGACCGGGGTCCTACTACGGACATCGCCCTCGGGGACCGACCGAACACGCCACTGTATACGCCGTCGCAACGAATGCAGCTGCCGCACCGTTCAAGGGGCGCTGCTTTGCTTGCAACAGGCCGGGCCATCGCAAGAGCGAATGCCCAGAGGAGCTGAGGCGCCGCGGAGCAGAGCAGGGGAGGCAGTCTCAGAGGCAGGGAAACGCCAGCAGTCAGTAGAAGTTGGGCCAACTACTGACGAGACTGCCTGCACGCCCAACCGCACCGACCCTCACCGAGTCACAGTACCGATTCACGCCATCGATCGGGCTCGGATGAATAAGGAGGGTACAGCGACGGATTGCCCAGTACTGATCTACGGGAAGATACAGGGAGCAGCAGTGAAGATTTTTATTGACGGAGGAGCAAGCCACAGTTTAGTTAATACCGCGACCGCACGGAAACTGCAGTTAACACTTAACCACTGCTTACCTGAGATAGACGCACGCTTAGTCGACGGCACGCCACTGGCCATACGGGAAAAGGTGGAGCGAGTAAAAATCCGCTGCGGAGGGAACTTCGGGTTTACACAGGAAATGCTCGCCACGACACTGGATGGGCACGACATTTTATTGGGACGTGATTGGCTGCAACGGTATAACCCGCGAATTGACTGGACGACGGGTAGCTGCACCGTGCGAAGTAGTGGTAACTGGGTCGAACTGTGAGAATAGGTAGGTAACGATAGTAGCCATAGCTAGGACTAACCTAGCTAGGCAAGAAGAAGTTAGGCAAAAGAGGAGGGTTGTACTAGCAAGCAATGGGATACAAATATGAAACCCTAAGGGGTTATACTCGCTATAGAGTACCCCACTGCAGGCTAGATAACAAATATGACATTCTGACACACCCCCATAGCCAAAGTGGGGTGTAATCAGCAGAGCAAGCAAAACAGAACAAGCTCAGGGTGGATCACAATGTCACCACACAGTCTGAGCACAAGTTCAAGCAGCAGTAGTATAAAGTTCACAGTTATAAGCAAAGCTAGAGGTAGTCACAACGGGCAAGTGAGGAGGAGGAGAGAGACTGAGAGGAGAGGCGATAGGAGGCGACGGATGAAGCTGCAGACACACGGGCAACAGGAGGCAGACTGGCACAGCGGCTACCGGACGAAGCCCCCAGACTACAGGAGTAACTAGCCCCGCGGCTAAAGTAGCGGCAGACGAGCAACGGACCCACGGGTGGCTGGCACAGCTGGCTACGACTGGGCTACCGGACGAAGTCCCCGGACTACAAGTGCTGCTAGCGACACATCGGCATCCTCCATTCAGCTTCCCCAGACTGTCCTACTCCCCTTGGCACACACCCACTGCTACACCGCTAGCTCTCCTCCCCTTCCCCCCCCCCCCTTAGTATCACTCCACCGGCTCCACCACAATCACCCCCCCCTCAGCGGCAGCTGCAGCACAAGGAGACGGAGGAGGAGGAGGAGCAGGGAGTGGTACTGAGGAGGGTCACCCCCATACCCCTCACCCCCAAACCCTAAAGTAGGAGAATGGGGAGTAGGAGGGGTAGGGCGGTAGTAGAGGGACTGGGAACAGCGGGGAGGGCAGGGAAGGTAGGAAACGGGCCCACCACGGGCCTGGTAGGGACGCCCGAGCCGCGCGCATGCAGCCCGAGCCGCGCGCGGGTCGGGCGTCTCCCGTACGGGCCGCGCGACGGCCTGGCGCAGCCCGTACGGGCCGCGCGCGGGCCTGGCGCAGCCCGTACGGGCCGCGCGCGAGCTTGGCGCAGCCCGTACGGGCAGCGCGTGGGTCTGGCGCAGCCCGTACGGGCCACGCGCTGCCTGTACGGGCCGCACAGAGGCCACGACGGGCGACGGGGGGCGACGCGGAGGTCCCCGTCGCCCGTCACAGCGCCTCCCAGGAGCGGCGCGCGGCGTGACGGGGCAGAGGCGCGCGGCGGGAAGAGAACCGCCGCGCGCCTCGGGGCGCACGGCGGGCAGAAAACCGCCGCGCGCCTCGGGGCGCACGGCGGTAAGGGAAAGTAGTAGTTGCAGCGGAAGGTGTCAGATTATTATAGCTGATGCATGTTTGTAGGCTATAGTGGGGTAGCACATATGGGGTACAGCTTTCTAGGGTTGTATTTGTACCCAACTCTGACTTAGTCATTCTCATTCCTGGTCATTTGTTTCACATGGTATAGAGCGAGTTCCCTGTGGGAACGTTGCCTAGGGCCCACCGAAGCGCGCCCCGAGGCGCGCACTTTTTTTTAGCGACCCCTCGAGTCGCCCTTTCCCTCGTGGCCCCGCCGTCCCTCAGACGCGGCCCCGCCACCCCTTCTGATCGCGGCCCCGCCACCCGATCGCGGCCCCGCCGCCACGTCGCGGCCCCGCCACCCGATCGCGGCCCCGCCGCCAGCTACGACGCGGCCCCGCCGCCTGCTCGACGCGGCCCTGCCGCCTGCTCTGACGCGGCCACGCCGCCCGCTACGGAGCGGCCCCACCGCCTGCTCGACGCGGCCCTGCCGCCTGCTCTGACACGGCCCCGCCGCCCGCTACGACGCGGCCCCGCCGCCTGATCTGACGCGGCCCCGCCGCCCGCTACGACGCGGCCCCGCCGCCTGATCTGACGCGGCCCCGCCGCTACCTCTTACGCGGCCCCGCCGCCACCTCTGACGCGGCCCCGCCGCCTGATCTGACGCGGCCCCGCCGCCTGCTCTGACGCGGCCCCGCCGCCCGCTACGACGCGGCCCCGCCGCCGGCTACGACGCGGCCCCGCCGCCCGCTACGACGCCGGCCCCGCCGCCTGCTCAGCCGCGGCCCCGCCGCCCTCTCTGCCGGCCCCGCCGCTCCACCAGCCGCGGCCCCGCCGCTACACTTGACGGCCCCACCGTCCCCGCCGCTGCATCTGCCGGCCCTGCTACTTCGGCCCCGCCGCCCCTGGTCCCGCGGCCCCGCCACCCTACCTGCAGCAGCCGAGCCGCCCACCGGCAGCAACCGAGCAGCAGTGCAGCCGAGCCGCCCCGCACCCGAGCCGCCCTGCCGCCGAGCCGCCCGGGACCCGAGCCGCCCTGCCGCCGAGTCGCCCGGGAGCCGAGCCGCCCTGCACCCGAGCCGCCCTGCCGCCGAGCCGCCCGGGAGCCGAGCCGCCCAGCAGCCGAGTCGCTGAGTCGCCGAGCCGCCCCTCTGCAGAGTTGCCC